ACTCTGGTATTCTCTCCTTTCAGCCAAGATTCTTCTGACATCAGCAGTGATATCCCTCATTCCACATCCTCTTCTGAATTCATCTTGAATTTCTGGCAATTCCATGTCAATGTACTACTGCAACCATTTTTAAATTATCTTCAGCATAATTTTACTTGCATGTGATATTAATGATACTGTTCAATAATTTCTGCATTCCATTGGATCACCTTTCTTTGGAATCAATATGGATATGGATCTCAGTACATATTTTTGGAGGACACAGTTCAATCCATAACATTCCACCCTTTGCCCCCCCCCACATTTATGTCCTTGCCACATGCAAAGCACATTCACTCATCACAACATCCAAAAGTCTTAAATCAACTACAAGTTCAAAATCTCATCTTCCAAATCATCGAAATCAAGTATGAGTGAGACATTAGGCATATTCCATCCTGAGGCAAAATACTTCTTCATCTGTGAACCTGTGAAATCTAGAATACAAGTTACCTGCTTCCAGAGTACAATGGAGGAACAGGCACAAGACAGACATTTCCATTACAAATGGAAGAAATTGGAGGGAAAGAAGGAATAATGAGCACCAAGCAAGTCCAAAACCCAGCAGAATAATGTGCGTTAACTCTCAAGGCTTGGAAATAATCCTCTATTCTACACTATCTAAGCAATGGCCCTGCCCTTCAGACTCTAGGTGTTGGCCATGATCTCAGGATTTTGGGTGGAGGCCACTTGACCCTGGGCTTCAGGTTCACCTTCCAGGCCCAGTGGGATGGCAACTCTACTCCCTTGGCTTTGGGTGACCCCATTCTTCTAGTCCAACTGAGTGGTGATCCCACCCCCTTGGCCCCAGCAGGTCTCGTTCTTCTGCCTCTTGGGCATGGCAGCCCCACCCCCTCAGCTTTGGGTGATGACCCCGTGCCCCATTGTTGTCATTATAAGGTGCCATTGACTTGGTTCTGATTCATAGAAACCCCATGTACAACAGAATGAAACACTGCCTGGTCCTGTGCCATTCTCACAATCGTTGTTATGTTTGAACCACTTTTTGCAGCCACTGTATCAGTATGTCTCATTGAGGGTCTTCCTCTTTTTCTGACCCTTTACTTTACCAACCATGATGTCTTTCTCCAGGGACTGGTCCCTACTGTTAACATGTCGAAAGTATGTGAGAGGAAGTCTCACCATCATCACTTCTAAGGAGTATTCTGGCTGTATTTCTTCCAAGAGAGATTTGTTTGTTCTTCTGGCAGTCCATGGTATATAATTCAAAGATATCAATTCTTCTTCGGTCTTCTTTATTCATCATCCAGCTTTCACATGCATTTGAGGCAACTGAAAACACCATGGCTTGAACTGGGCACACCTTAGTCCTTAAAGTCCTTAATGGCAGCCCCACACCCCGGAATCGAGTTGGTGAAGATCTGACTCTTTGAAACCTAGGAGAAAGTGGCCCCACACTTTGAGATCCAAGAGAC